GTTTCAGAACACTTGATTTAGCTTCTTCGTTACGAATAAGAACTTGTTTGTCGTGGTTGGTGTTAGCTTAAAACGATTCCAGAACAATTGATTAGCTTCTGTGTTTTCGAATCAAGAACTCGTTTTTCGTTGTTTGTGTTAGCTTAAGACGGTTTCAGAACACTTGATTTAGCTTCTTCGTGACGAATAAGAACTCTTTTTTCGTGGTTTGTGTTAGCTTGAGTCGATTTCAGAACACTTGATTTACCTTCTTCGCTCGAATCAAGAACTCGTTTTTCGTGGTTTATGTTAGCTTAAGAGTTGAGAAGCTCTGTTAAATAAGTATCAGATCATTTTGTAAAACTAAAGGTATGACGAATTATGATTCTAAGCGTTTGTGTGTTGCTAATTATGATTTCAAAGATGAAAAACTGACTCCACATTTAATTGTTCTTAGACTGTATAGTATGTTTGAGTGAAAGAAAGTTTCTGAAGGTGAGAAATTGGTCATAAAAAATTGGCTAATGCTTGGAATGTGACATGTGACTGAAACAGAACCTCGCAGTTTCTTTAGTATATCTTCTCTTTCAAGAGTTTTTGTGCGGTGACTGAAACACATTTGAATGTCTTGTGATACAGTCATTGCAGCTGCTCTAACACTTGTCATGGGACAACGGTTCTTGTTGACTCAAAAGATTATGCCGGCTGGTTTGGTTGCTGGAATTAGGTGATTTTGATATATAAATACTCCATTTTTCTTTTCCGAGTGTGTAACATAAGCGAGTTTCTAACCCGGCAAAACCGTTTTGTCTGTGTATATTGCAGTGCCCTCATGACATGTTTCTATGTGTACAAGATCGCGACTGGCGGAAACCACATACCACCACCTAAAGCTGAATGATGGTTTTTCGATGGACGCATACAATCTCCCTCTATTGGTGAAATAAAGTATACGAATTTGTCGATTTAGAAATCTGTATGGTGTAGACAATGCTGTTGTGATTACGCCTTTAAAAGGTTTTGTTTATTTCTTTCTCTGTGATTGTAGTTCCTAATGTAACCATGAATCTCTTTCATAAATCTAATTTGCTTAGTTTCTGTATGATTTCTGAGGATGAAGCTACCTATGCAAGAAATCTCTGATCTAACACACACCATGAACCTTTTAGATCATAATAACAGAGAGTTCAAAAGATACAAAATGAAACAAGTCAAGCAAACCAGTCTTCAAAAGATACTGAAAGCAAACATTAGAACATGAAGTTCTTAAATTACTAAAGCAAATAGACCACACTTAAAAGTTAAAACAAATCAGTCTAATAAAGGGACTTGAAAGAAGTATCGAAAATCCGCTGCGCTTGACTAAGGCAGCGTAATCATCGAACTAGAGCATCTTTATCGAACTCAAACCGCTCCCATCCAAAATGCTTCCTGCTATCTTTCTCAGCTGCAATATCAAGCGGATCATTAGTTTAAATAGAAGAAGTAAATATGAACTGATATGATCGTTTTCACAAGGTATACAATGCGAGGAATCTCATCTCATTTAAAGGGCATAGTCTATCTTCATACACCACTACATACATTTCCATATATTCTATCTCCTAAAAAGGTTTTGTCCCAATCCTCCTTATATGCAGAGTTGCTATGAAGATCTATGAGGTCAATAAACACTAAGTTAGTGCTGATTGCATCTTCAATGCCAAGAGATACATAATAACTCTTACTTTAATCAAAAATAACATACCTTAGATTAAACGAGCCGCTGCTATTTTCCACTGTCTTATGGCTCTCCTCTCTTGCAACCATGCCAGATTTCTTTCTGCCTTATCAGTACGCGCTTCTATCGATGACACCAGTACCTCCAGCTCGTGCCTCATCTTCTCGTAGGACTCATCATCTTCTCGTAGAGTTGGTCCATTGTTGTCCGCCTTCAATGCTAGATCCTCCTCTTCCTCCAATGCAACCTTTTCTTGGACCAATCTTTCATTTTCAACAACATCATCTTCTTTCTCAGCTTCACTGCACAACTTCTCATCTGACCTCACCTTTTCTTCCGCTACGGAACCATCTTTTTGGAGCAAAAAAGTTTGTTCCTCGACCATATCGGCATTGCTTCCATATACATCAAGCTCATCATCACAAGTTTGCACTGTCTCTGGTGGTGACACAACAATTTCAACTCCATTGGCACCAAGAAAAGAATCTGAAGAATTGGTTTCATCAATTGGACTAAGACCAGTTTCATCAGTCTCTTCATTCCTGTGCTCTATTTCTAGTAGTGGTACAGCTTCATTTCCATCAGCGCTTATCGAAGCGAGCTTTTGATTAGGTCCTGAATCATTGTTATCCGCCTCAAGTCTACTTTTTTTACCAAGCTGTTCAGAATCATCTCCTCCACTATGCTCTACATCACTGTACTTCTTCTTATTATGTCTCAACATTTGAGCAATGGTGAGGCTAACATCATCGTTCTCACGACGAGATTGCTTCATGCACTTCTGTTTCTTGTGACAAGATAGGATCATATACTTGCGTCTCTTTCTTCTCGAATCCTTAGATATCTTCCTTACTGCCTCGCTTGTTCTGTTCATCTCCGAAGAACTCTGAAATTCTTGAAATGTCTTCTTCCCCCACTCGCAGAACATTGGAGTAACACAAGCTACTGCATAACGAGAAGGAATGCGTAACGTCAAATCATCAATAGGCTTGTTGTAATGATCCCAAGCTTCCTCCTTTAAGAGGTTGTTACGGTTAACAAGACAAGGAACATCCTGAAGCAACCCGAACTGTGAAGCCACTCGATCAGGAAAGTAATGCTCCACATTATAAATACCAACAAGCTCAGAGACCTTGATGAACCGAGCAAAGGGGGTAAATTCATCATCGAGATTAGGACCAACAGGAACCAACATCGCCTTTTCGGGGTAAAACCGAGGAAACTCCCAGTTCTTCACAGGTTTTGTGAAGGGACGCCACTCAAAATTGTCGATCTTCGAGTTGTCTAGAACCCACCTCACATCATCAATCTTTCTCTGCTTCTCATGCCAAAGAGCCAATCTTGGCTCACCTTCTAGCAACTGATTAGGAATTGGTTGTAGTTCCTTGAATCTCTCCCATGTCCAAACTTGAACCAGCTTAAACAAAGCAGTGAAATCAGTTACGACAGTAATCGTTGGTTTGCGGAAAGCTTGAATGTGGTATTTCAAACGAGTTAGCTCTTGATACAAGTGAGGAAGAACAGCTGGAGCTAAAGCAATCTTTGTACCACTTGAAAGATGAATAGCAATCGAAAACACAGCTTCAAAGATATGATAATAACGCAACGGAAACACAAAGTAGCTAAGCCAACACACAAGGAAAGCAGCATGCTCAGTCTCATCATCATTACAGTCCATGAATCTCTCCATCCTGTTAGCTGAGTTACAAAACTTACCTTGCTCCTAATCTCGACCCATTCTTTCAACAGTTCCGACTTAATCTTCTCTCCTGACCTATCCAAAGCAGCGAAAACCGGTAAACCGGAAACAGAGAAACCTAAAAGCACCATAACATCTTCAAGTGTTATGCTTGTTTCACCCCAAGGGAAAACAAAATTCTTTGAATCAGGACACCATTTCTCAGTGATACCAAGGACAAGATGCTTATATGTCGTGATTCTATATATTGATGACATAACAGCTTCAAAAGTCCCAGCTTTTTCCCAAATGGGTTTGTGTAAAGCAGCCATTTTTCTAGTCCAAGACTTGAACTTTCTGCTCGCTAATCTCCACCCAATGAAGTTAACACTGCGAGAGAGTGCCTTTAAGTCAGGACGGTTTTGTTGACGGAGAAAAGCTCCAGATCCATCAATGGAGGTTGAACATGGCTTCAAAAGATGAGATTTTTTGCTGTTTTCAGGTGGAAACACCATTAGCGCTTCTCTCTCTTGGAAAAGATCTTCTTTTGGTGTTGAATCGTCGTCCATGGAGATTTGGAGAAGAGGGTAAAAGTTTTGGTCTTTATTATCTCTTTGTTTTTTTTTTTGTTTCTTTTTGTGGGTTTAAAGATTGAAGTTTGAAAGATGAAGACTAAGCGCAGAAGCTATGTTTTCTTTTGCAGGGAGGTGTAATTGAAAACATATCCTTTTACGGTAATATGAAAATAAAAATTATTAATAAATGGTCTCATCAATAAAACATCAATAATGATTACTATTTCCGAGAACATTGCATTTATAGTAATTTTCACATTACTTTTTCCGTCTTCTTAATTTAAGCCTCCTTACAATTTTTACACGAAATAAAAATAAGAGTGAATTAAGTAGATAACAATAAAATATGGTATAATTAATAAACTAATAGCGAGAAAGTAGAAATTTAGGAAAATAATAGTGAAAAAATAACATGTATCGAGGCCTATTACAATTTAACCCTTCAAATTTCGTGTGTTGAAATAATCTGGAAATTGACTCAAAATTTAGTAGGTTGTCCATATTTATAACTAATATCTGGCTAACAATTAAGATTTCTCAGTAAATATATTATACTATATGGCTACTGACTTTATGAACCGTATAACAATAATATTATCTAACTTTTTATCAAAGTTTATTTGTTGTACATATATTTTATCCGGCTACTAATCTTCTTTTCTATAAGTTGTTAAAAAAATACATCCAACTTATTATATTATCGCGTTATTTAAAATTTGTATGTCGCGTTATTTAAAATTTGTATCCGGCTAACAATTAAGATTATTTTTTAACATGTTCTACTATCCGGATACTGATTATATTATCCGGATAGGCCCTGTTTTCACCAGACTTATTGTTGCTTCCGACATATATAGAGTTGGGAGACGCAATTAGAGGTAAAAATGTTATAAATAGTGTCAAAACAGTGTCAGAACAGTGTCAGAATTTCTCTCTGTTAGTTGGCCAAATACCAAAAAATGTGTTGCTATCCAATGCAAATAATAAATAAATAATTCGATTATGCATTTATTTAACTGTTGGGAATTCTTAAATAAAATTTGCATTAGAATTATGAAACGATAATTATTTTGTAACAAGAAAATTCCTCTAAAATGATATTAAAATTAAAATGGAGGGAGTATAAAATTACGTTAAAAATCTTCTCGTATATGTTTGATGTGTTGTGAACATTCCAAGAAAAATATTGACAGAAAAAGAAAATTAGCAGATACAACCTAAAACAAATTTATAGCTGATTCAATAGCCAAAAATGCTGTGCACTTTCAATTTGGTTGTGTAATGTGTATTTATATATTATTTATATATACTGATACGAGAATGTCCAAAATTCTATATTATTGATATTTCTATATGGAACAGTAAGTAATGGATCATACGCAAAAATGACGCAAAAATATATTGTACAATGTAATATGTATGTCAGATGTAATGTATATTTATGATCGAAAAAGCCTTCATTTTCTCTTTTTTTTTCCTAGTATTATGTTTTCTCTTCCTCCCATATTATATGTTTAGATCTCTTTTAAAATAAATTATTCAAATTTATAATCTTATTTAGAAAACATAGTTTTTTGAGAAATTTTAAGAAACACTAGATTTTTTTTCCTATATACCATGATTTTTTTTTAAACAAACACATATTTCTCAAATAGATTGATACACAAATATAATTAAGAAGGTATTGTTCAAGAACACCATAGAACTCTACTCTATTTGTTTCTATATAGAATTGTATATACATGCATAAACTCATTTGTCATTTAAAAAAAC